TTGCCATAAGCACTCAAAGCACAGACAATATAGAAACATCACTGGCATTAGGGCTGAGCCCTTCTGCTAAGCATTGGAGAAGAAAGGGCAATAAATATGAGCAGAGCCACAACAAGGGGGGAAAGGGGAAAAAAATCTAGTTTATGGATGGAGGAAACTTGGCACACAACACCAAGAGTTAAACTGCAAGAAAATTCAAATAACCATTAGCAAAAAAGTTCCTGGGAGTAAAAGGAAGATGTCTCCAGAGCTGTAACTGACACCAGGGCAGACCTTTACCTCCAGCACATTTTGCACCAGTAAAACAAGGAGTCACAAAAGCATTCCACCTCCAACAGCAAAAACAGGTTAATTAGTCCTAAGCACAAGCCATAGGTAGAGCTCTGCTGACAACACAGATACTGCACAGGCACAAGAGAAACCAACAGCAAACCCACGTGTTTAAGGTCTGCCTTGACGTTTTGAGCTGAGACTCTCAATCTGCATCCCAACAGTGGCATTGCCCAGGAAATACCTTGGTGACAACTTTGGTGCCACCTTATTTAAACCTTAATTTAAAATGCTAACTTCATAATGAGTGGAACAAAACTGTGTAAAAACATTTCCCACTCTAATCCTGGATTGATCCCCCCCAGTATGGCCTTCTTTTGTAATTACATCCCTTTGTGATCTCACTCTAATGCCTTGTATTGTGACCCATAAAATAATCAGCCCCCTTTGTCTCTCCCTAATCCTTTTAGACTTCCTTCTTGTCTCTACACTCTTATAAATGCTGCCATTATTTGGGCTCAGCAGCTCTTCCCACCACCCCAGAGCCTGGAAAGGGGGCTGCAGGTTAAACCCTGAATATATTCTGTGCAGAGGAGCTGAAACGATGGGAAGATCTTTGCTGCTTTAAAATCCCTGTTGGGTTCCCAACCTCCTCCCCTAGCCACACAGCTTGGCAGGGAAACCAACCTGCAAGTTTGCATATGCACCAGCCCTCCCCACTTCTGTATCTTGCTGATGACCTGAAGACAGTGGCCAGTGTGTTTGTGGGACAGCATGCTTGTCCCCAGGCTGGGTGAGGGAGCTGCTGCTGCTGCTGAGTGCAAGGATCAATGCAGAGAGGAGTCACAGCATCTGCCTTGCCCAAGCTATCAATCCTGCCCTCCTGCTGGCAGGGTAAGTGCCACGGACAGCCACACACAGTGGGATGCAGGAGCAGAATTTGGGACAGGATGCAGAAGGAAAGGGGGTCAGGGAGAAGAGAAGGGCACAGGGATGTGTGCTGCTATGCTTAACTACAAACCAGTCACCCTGCAGCAAGACATAGGGAAGAAAATGCCTTTACAAGCTCAGATCTGTCCAGAGTTATTATCAGGTCCTGCAGTACCTCAAATACAGGGCAGGTCCAATGCACCAAACTTCAGGAAATTGGGTGTAAATTGCACCAATTGTTCATTTTTTTGCTGTGTTTTTTGTTTGTTTGTTTGTTGTTTTATTTTTGGGGTGGGGGGATTATAGCATTAGATCAAACAGGGAAAATTTTTACTCTCAGGCTGGATACGTGCAGAGCCTGATCCGATACCCAGTTTGATGGTGATTTCCAATTAGTGGTAACTGCTTGTTATTGAGTGATATAATCAATGGGTCTTACTCCACTGGCTGGGCTGTGATTTATGATGATGTGGAGCCAGGTCCATCAAATTACAGCATTGGCAAAAAGAGCTGGAAATGCCACGAGATGACAGAATCAGAGCAAGTGAGGCCAAGTTAAGCAAAGGGTGCTGATGAGAAGAAAGGTGGGTGTGTTCTCGGGAGCCCACCTTCCTGAGGAGTGGACTCTGGATGTTAAAATTGCTCAGAGGGTATCTTCATCCACAGAGAGCCAAAGCATGCTCAGCTTCTGGCATGCATAGGGGAAATCCAGCTCCTCAGAGACCTGTGAAAACCCAGCCAAGCCGTGCCTCCAGAGAACACTCTGATATGAAACTGATTTTAATTAAGACAGCTCGGAGTCATGCGAAACTACAGAACTGTCATTGAGAGACAGAAAGGATCTGTATTCAATAACCTGATCAGATTATAAAAACATGTTGCATTCCACAACCTTTTAAACTAACACACCAGGGTTTGAACAGACACAGAAACAGCAACTGAAAGAATTCCAACCGGGGTGTTAGGCAGAGGGTAGAAATGCTGAGGGCCTCCCTGCTCAGCTCAGTCACACCACGTAGGCTTCTTGCACACTTGTGCTTGTTCAAAAAAAAGTTACACTACAAAAATATTATCAGTGTTTTTAGCACCTGACCAGCCAGTCCACAAACCACCCAAGGTCTGCTTCCTTCCACTGAGTATCTTTGATTAACAATGGTGACATACAGAAATACCCCAGAATTTAATGAAATCAATTTAATGAGTTAATTTTTAGGAGGAAGGGTTTAAGATGTGCCCTCTTGGTGAGGAAACTGCTAGCACCTTGAGCTCATCAAGGGCTCACGCGCAGTGGCTGAGAGCAGCATATTCTTCCAGTTAAATTTTACTCAATGCCAAGTGTTGAAGTAAATTTGAAACATAAAAATATGATATCGAGCCCACATTTCCTGAATGCAAATATGTACATTCCTCCAAGCCAAGAAGATTATATTCCAAGCAATAATACAAAGCCGGGGTCTGTAACGGTGATACGAGACTAACAGCCTGCCTTTGAAGACAGCGAAAAGTGCAACAGAGCTCTCGAGGGGCTCCGCTCTGTCAGATCTCTTTTATTCTTCTGTAGCATGGCCTTGATCAACTTTCAAGATTTTTGTTTGTGAAAGGTTTTTATTTCTCCTTTGCTTTTGTGTTCAGATGTCAGGCTCAGAGGGAAGAAGAGATCAGCACTGGGATGAGGTTTTACCCACTGGCAGTATTTACTCTGCTCTGCAAAGATCTGCTTAGCACTTGGGTTTTTTTCCCTTTCCCTTCCAGGCAGCCAGCACCCATTCCCTCGATGCAAAGGTCCCTAAAATGGGGATAATTACCCTTCTCCTTCGACTTGCTGATTGGGACTTGGAGCAAGGAAAATCACTGTCTCTTGTGTATAACCACTCTGAGATTTGGGGGCCCAGGGTACAACTGTGATTCATTCTCAGGAGATTTCATCTACGATTAAGCAGACTCCTAAGTGCAAGTGTGTGTTCCTGTGGCTCAGGCACAGCAGGGGAGCTTGCCCTGAGCAGCAGGTTACATTTACCCACAACATCCTGTTTGATTCCCATTATCTGCACGCACCTGTGGCATCAAGGCTTGTGGGGGGGGGGGCCCTGTTTGTGCTGGCTTCACCCAGACCTCTTCTCAGGGCTGGCAACAAACCAAGCCTGAAGCTAGAATAGAGTCCAGAGCATTTTCAACACGATCCCTTTTTCATTTTGATTCATGTGAAACTACGGCTACAAAAGGAAACGCTATTCAGGGACACACAGCACATCACATACATATTGATGCAGGAGCCAAGATAACAGTGTTTATTGACAATCCACAATCTCAAAGGTAATTCCTCTGGCTCTCATGTCTCCAGTTTACAGGTCCAAGAAGTTTGGCATTGTGCTTGTGCATGAGTCGGCTTCCAGCTCATAAATGCCAGAGCCATTCACCAAAAGTGCTCCAAGGTTTAGCACCACAAGACTGACAAGTCTGAGATCCAGCTGCTAATCTGGCAAGGCCCCAAAGCCCTTGGCTCCTGGACAATGTCACTTCTTACACTCCTGAAAAGCTAGGTTTGCAGATGGCCACTTCATGTACTCGGGAATTGTTATACACAAGGGCTGGAGTGTTCCCTTGGTGGGCTGCCAGCCGGCCCTGGCACTGCGGGGAGCGGGTGGCAGCGTTCCAAAAGGCCCCCAGGTTGGGAAAGGCAGACAAGACCTCAGCCCCAGACTTTGCCTTAGATTTTTCCTGCTTTGCACCAAAATATCATGGTGATATTAGCAATTGCAACAGAAGCATTAGTAAGTTGCTTGCACAGAAGGAAGAGCAGTAGCCAAACAAGCTGGAGAACCCTTCAGCAAAACTTAACAAATCAGTGTTCTGTCAGGTCTCGCGGCTGTACCACACACCCATCCTCACACTCACATAGAAATTACATCCAGCAGCAACTTCTGGTTAAATGCAAAAAGGATCAGTGGCTGCACTCCCAGAGCCCCCAGACAGTCTGTGGGCAAAGAAAGCCACCAACACAACAGGGAAGCCACTACAGACCCCCCAGCTCTGCTGGGTGTCAGTCCTGGGACAAACACCAACCAGCAACCAGAGCTGAAAAGGAAGAACCAGGAGATCCAACAGGACCCAACTGCTCTGGCCCAGGCAAAGCAATGGGCTAATGTCAGGTAGTGTGCAGAGCTGGAGTCACGGCCTGCCCTGGAGTTCTTCCTCCCCCACCTTTAAATTTCATTCCCTCACTGGCATTTTCATCTCTCTCCTCCTCCAGGCTCCCCCATTAGACAATCTGTCTGGTGTTGTTAGCCTTGCCCCCAAAGGCACTGCCACACCAGGTAGTAAATAAGACCTTGCTGCCTCTACACTGCCAGCATTAAATAACAAAATGAAAGATACCATGACCTTCAGGAGGTCTTTGCCTATGGTTTGGGAAGTGCTGCCTGCCAAGCAGAGCCCAGCTGTGCTGCACAGCAAAGAGACTTCCAAACTCACTGCAGGAGATACACAAACCACAGACTACTTCACCACATGATTTTAATGTAACTTACACCTCCAACACAGAGAATTCGCTGTTGGAAGGTGGCTTTTAGTTTTCCACCCGAGAAAGCTCATGAGCTCTTCTTTCACATTTGGACAGCTACACAGATTAGATGCCAGCCAGATTTTGACACCATCTCCAGGGTTTTTCTCTCTTCCCTCTCTTTAATCCCCGCTCCATGAAAACCCAGCACCCACCATGCTGCCCTCCTGTTTCCCAACACAGCCAGTGCCCCTTGTGGGATTGCCCTGTGAGGTGGGGGTGGGATGCTGTCTGTACTTACTTGCTGCCTGAATCTTTGCCTTGCGGCTCACCAGCAGCCCGTAGTGGTTCTGTGCCATGCAGTCGTACTCGCCTTCATCCGAGGACCCATCTCCCCGCAGCCTCTGGAAGCGGGAGACGTAGAGAGACCCGTTGGCCAACATAAAGGCGTTCTCACTGTCCACGATCATCACGCCATTCTTCCGCCACGTGATGGTGATGGGCTGGATGCCCTCCACCTGGCAGTAGAGGATCAAGGGTTGCTCCTGCACAGCTATGTCATCACTAGGCTCCACAACGAACGCCAGCTCAGAGGAACGGCCAAAATCTAAAATGAAGAGAGTAGGGCAGAGTCAGCAGCATGTCCAGGAGCAGCAGCAAGAGTCAACTGCTATGGCAGGTATTAGGATGATGGAAACATTTGGAATGTGCTACAAAGTGCAAGTGTTTCTGAGAAACACAAAACCCACAAGAGGCAGGGTTTGCCTCCCAAGACTTTTACTCTCTCAACCTCAGGGTACAATTTCTTACAGCACAACCACAGGCAAAGTCCTTCGAGGCTGCCTTTGGAGGCTCCAGCGAAGGGGACAGGCAGGCACATCCCTGCAGCAGCTTGCCAAACCCTAGCTCCACCCCATACTGCCCTGAGCATTGCCTTTCACCTCCCATTGCAGGTGTGCAGCATTCAACAATTAAAACTTGCACAAACATAGGGCATCATCCCTTCCCAGCCCAGAAGTGCACGCAGTGCTGGAAAGCCATTCCTCTCCCCACGCAGCCAGGCAGAGGGGCTGTGCCGTGCCCCAGACCCGTTTGCAGCACAGCCGGCGGGGTGAGGGGGGATCAGCAGCTCCCGATCCAGACCATATTGCCACCGGCATCTTCCCGACACTTCTCGCGCTTGGCAGAGCAGGAGGCTGTTTGCCTCTCGCACGCAACACCGCGCCCTTCTGTCGCCTTGGTCTCTCTCGCGCTGTAACAGGCAATGCATGGTGCTATTCAGCCCTTAATGAAGAGCAAGTTAAGCACCAAAATACAAATGCACAATGTTCCGGCTCAGCCACACAAAAGGTTTCTTGCAAAGCAATTACGCTAAACGATGTCCACGAGAGATAAGTTATTGCAGAATTTGTACCAACAATAGGCAAACCCTCACTTCCCATGACACAGATACATCCTAATTTACTTCTTTTGCCACAAGAGCATTTAAACGCTGTGTCTTTGGCACGTTATGCTTCACTTGGTCACAGCACACCTTTTGAGGGTACGATTTGCCCTGTAGTCATGATCAGACACTACAGAAGATGACAGAAATAAAACTATTGCTTAAAGACTGGCCAAAATACATGTAGACATGAAAGACAAAAAGAGACCAAGAAAGGAGAGTTACATAGATATTTGAAGGCTGTAAATGAAGGGATGGAGGTGAACTGGGTTTTTTTAAAGAGGAGCAATGGTGAAGAAATTCCAGCAGAGTAAGAAAACTACAGTTTCATCCAAATACGGAGAGAGCCTTTCCAACAGTTCACTTCACCTCTGGCCCTTCAAGGTGGGGGTTTCCCAACCTGTGATAGAGCTTCTTTCCTCTTTCACAGGCCCAGAGGAACCAACTCCACAGATACTCACAGAGCTGGGATGCACACAAGCAATATCTCTTGCCAAACACCAGCCACAGCACAGGCTTTGTGATACCTGTCCCTCATAGAGACCCCACCAAGGACAGGATCCCCCCACACGAGGCTCAAAAGCAGGGTGGAGGGCAGACTGTTAATGCATAGTAAGAATAACAGAGATGAGAAGAGGCAGTTACACTAAAGAAAAAGAAGAAAAAAAGCCTGTCTTTTCTGCTCTGCAAACCCAGTGAGATTTTTTTTTTCTTTCTTTCTGTAAATCCCCACTGCTTTCTACGGCAACTTAAATTGGATTACGGGGGATAAACATTGAGTGCAACCTGAGCCGAGGCAGATGGACGGAGCAGACAAAGACAGCAGTGGTACTGCAGGGCCAGGCCAAAGGTACTGCCAACGAGGTATGAGTGTGTGCAAGGAATGGACAAACCCCACTTAGTGACAGGCACCTAAAACACACACTTTATTAACCCATTAAGTCTTAAAATGTCAGGCTAGCTCCAGCCATCTCGGTGATCTATCGCTCACTGTGACTCCTTTTTTATGAGATAGCCCTGGGGTCCTCTCAGCAAGTCAGACTGCAGCCAGCACAAACCCATCAATTACTTTTTTTTGTGAAAATTAAGGAATTAGATGAATGCTCTGCATTTTTCTGCAAAGTGGCCAGAGTCTCAACACCACGCTGGGGCCCCATTCCCTGTGTGAGTCCTCTGGCGAGTTAGGTAGGATAAAGACCCTTCCATCCTGATGCTGAGCCAAGAGGGACTTGTGACTCCAGAAAATTGAAGATTTCAGGATTTAGCCTAATGTGCAATCAGAAAAAAATCCATAATTAAATAAATGCCCCATCTTCCCCCAGCACCCCTGTACTCTTAGATAAAACAGCTTATTATTATATGTACAATAAAAGGAAGAATCAACATAATTACATGCCCTTCCCACAATTGCTGTCATTATAACAACCATCATTAAGGCCTGTGATTGGAGATAATCATGTTTGCCTCCATAAACATTCGGTCTGCATCCTCACTCCAGGCTGCTCAAGCTGCAGGAGTGATGATGCTCCTGATTAGGACTGGGCTCCTCAGACACTTGCTGGAGTGGGGACAGGCACTGCTCCTGGGGTCTCCTTGGGCTGCACTCAGGAGCAGGACTGTGCCTTGAGGCGTGGCACTGTGCAACTGGTTTGTTACCTGTAGACACCTTGCAGTGTCCAGAAGCACCCAAATTTCAACTTAACTTGGGTTTTTCTCATGGGATGCTTATCAGACCTTGAAGAAATCTTGCTGCCTCCTTCCTGGAGTTTCAGGGCCAGGTGACCAACTAACCAGATGCATGGGGGGAAGCTAGATCACCCCACCTGGAGATCTGGGAGAAGCCAAACTTTGTTTATTCTCTGTCTCAAAGGCAGACTCTGAACACAGAGCCCTTTTTTCCCAGGACGCTCAGGATGAGAGACAAAGGGACAGATGCTCCCAGAGGAATCTCCATAGTGGGACAAGAAGATTCCTGGTGTTTGCTCAAGAGATCAGCTCAGAGGAGCCAGAGGGAGAGCACAGACAGGATAAGGAATGGGATAATGGTGGGAGAGATGAACCCACCCAATTCCATCAGCATAAAGAACTGATTGCAGTTACCAGTGAGGCACAGAAATGATGCTGCAAAGTTGGAAGTAAATGATACTCCAAAGGCACATGGAAATAGTAAAAGTGCAATTAATTGAGAGACAGCAAGGAAATTGCTGAGGCTGTGCACATTCACTCAGGGAGTCTGAAAGTCCCATCCCTCTCCAACAGCTGGCTGTGTATCCAAACCCCTCTAATTGCACACAACATCCCAGGTACCTCCCAAAACAGACTGCAAAGCAGCATGGCTCACAGGCAGTCCCTGCTCGAGGCAGGAACTGTACAGCTCTGCTGGTGGCAGCTCGAGTTTGCAGTTGGAGCCGGGGCGTCGGGCAGGCAGCTGAACAGCCCGCTTGTCTCGACGCCGGCAGCGCGTGAGGGAAAACTGCTTTGCTTCTGCAAAGGGATGGAGGGAGGAAGCGTGATTAGCTCTGACATAAAGGCCACAAGAAAATTACTGGAATCCTCATTCTACAAGTCTCCTTTTGAGAAACATTTACCATCTCCCTGAGCAATATAATATGTGACTATATGTGCAAATATTTAACAAAAACTACTTCCCCTATTGATCAAGCAAGCCAGGCATACTCAGAGAAACCAATTAGCACTTGTGCTTTTGAACCAAGAAATTTATTTAGCGCTGAGAGAAAGAACTTCAAATTAATGGGAAGCTTAAAAGACACTTTGAAGTACATTTAAAATAAAATTAAGTTTAATTATTTTTTTACTTGACACTGTAATGCACATTCAGGGTTTCAAAAGAACTTGCTTATACCCCTGTATTGTCCTTTTCCATTTGGGAAACATGATTTTGGCTTCCCCTCCTGTGCTTCAGTGACTAATGTCACCGCTCTAATTAGCGGTGCCATCCATGGCCAAGGACCTCAGTCACATCCTGGCTCATCCTCCTGGAGCCCATCCAGAGCCGCAGCCAGCAGGGCCATCCCTGCCCCGGGAGCACGTGGTCCTGACAGATGAAGCCTGTATTATTACTCCTGTTCTAGACAGGGAACATTAATCACAGAGGGATGAAATAAGCTGCCAACAGCCCGCTCTGAGCTTGTGGCAAGGCGAGATATTGTGGGAGTAGTTGGGTCCACCCCGCTTCTCCTGGTGCAGCATCACTGGGAGCACTGCTGGGGACACTGAGGTAGCACCAGCTCCTTCCTCATCTCACCAACAGCATGCCATCCACCTGCAAATTGCCTCACATCAGCACAAATTTGCCCCCTCTGATTTATTGTGTTTATTCCCAGCATAACACAGCCTTAATCAGCAGCATAACCACCACCAAGGAGAACCACTCCAGTGCTGCTCCAATAAAGTCAAAAGAAGACAGGCAGGACCAGAGGCTTTTAGTGGGATTTTATAGGTCAGTATCTGGACCAAAAACCTGGATGCAGGTTGGGCCATGAACATGAAAAATAGCTCCTGTTTTTCCAGTGGTGGGTTGTTTTTCATTCAAATCCTTCTGCAAATAGAAGGATATGGAAGGAAGAGATATATGGACCTGAAAGATGTTCTCCAACAGATTATAACAAGCTTCAGGCTGATGAAATTGGCAGCCTAAAAATCCAGCTGGTGCCCTCTTAAATCTCCTTGAGCCTGACCCAGACCCTAAGGAGAAAAGCACTGCACTGCAGTAAAGTGCAAATTGGCTCTTTAGGGCATCCAGAAAATTTACATTTAAAGAAGAGGAGAATAGGCTGTAACAGGCCCCACATCTTGCTGGCAGTAAAGTTTATTAGCTCAGAATTTTTTATTCCCTTTCCTTTTGGACAGGAGGTTATATAAAGCGATTTTTCCATCAGGGAGCATAAACCACATCCACTCGTTAAACGATTGCAGGAGGTCCCTGACCTCCTAACAGAGAGGGATAACACAACCTCTCAGCCACCTGACAGAGAACCCAAAAACACCCAGCATTGCTGCCCTCACTGGGGACACCGAGTTTAGCTGAGGAAGGCAAGGAGCATGAAGAGCCAAAGAAGTTGCCCCAAATAATTTTCAGATGTTTGAGACCAGACTGAGCAATTCCCAGGAGGTCGCTTGTTGAACACTCTGGAAGCACTCACAGCACAAAGAGCCTTTCTAGGACAAGCCCCAATCCTTGTGGGCTCCCCCATATCTAAAGAAGGCGGGATAAAACCTGTTGGTATAGCTGGAAAGGGCAAAGACCTTTCCTGAGCTAATTACCCACAGCAGCTCCATCCAGCCAGGCATCCTGAGAGCATGGCAGCAAGCCATGGGTAGGATGCACTGTTATTTGCATTCCCCACGTATTTCACAGCCCTGACCAGATCACAGCCTCACCACAGAGGGCAACAGCGGCACAAACACAGAGCAGGGAACAACCATGCACAAATAGAGAGCAAAGGCACGGCCAAGATGGGAAATGCTGTGCCAGAGCCAGAGTCCCGCAGGCTTCAGCTCCCAAGGCTGCTCTAACGCAGAACAGGGGAACAGCCGGCTCATTCCCTGACCCTGCAGGAAAGCATCAGGGAGGGGCTGTCCCCACAGCCGGGCCCTTGCGCTGAGCCAGCAGGGAATGAACTGGCCACTCAGTGAGTGACAGTGCCCACGGATCAGAGATGGTGGCTGGCAGGATGGCACAAGGCTGCCAAAGGAGCCACAGGTGCCTTGGCATCACAGTGCCAAACTCCACCAGCCAACACAGGCCTTGAATTTCAGCTTGAGTTCTGGCAGGCTGGGATGGCATACAAGGAAAGGGAAGGGAAGAGAAGGAAAGGTCTTTCTGCAGCAAAGTTAGTGTGCACACGACAAACTTTGAAACTCTTAATTGTATCCAGGGGATACAATTAGTATCAATACAATTACAGAAAGCAAACTCAGCACTCTCTCCTGCCTGCCATCCCTTTTGCCTTATCACCTCCCACCCTGAAATTCAGGATGGAGGAAAGCATCTTGTTGTTCTCAAGGAGCTGAGCACTGCATGGATCCCTGCTCGCTCCAAAACCAGCACCTTGAAACACGAGCTCTTCTCTCTCTTTTCACTGCTCTCAGGTTTCAGCAGCAACGACCCTTCTGCAAAAGCATCTTCACAGCTCAGCAGAACCATTCACCACGACCCACATCCCCTGACTTGCCATCAGCTTCATCAACACAATCTCATGTGCAAGAACAACAACAAAAAAAACCAACCAGGCAGCAAATCCTTGACTCTGCTCTGAAACTCTGGTTTTAAATTACCAACACGGAGCAGGTCTGGGTTGTTAAGTGACTGGGCTGCTCTCGAGTGGAGGGTGCGATACCACGGTGACATCTGATACAACAGCAGGGCCAGATCAGTGTGCTCTGTGCTTTCCTCCTGCACTCGCCTATTTGCCTCTCTCGTCTCTTAAAGTGCAATTATTGACATGTTCGCCTTCTTAACCATCAGTTTTATAAGCTTGCCAATGACTCCTGAACATGTGTAAACAATTATTTTTATTTTCTTGCAAAACCAAAATGTTGGATATTCTTTTGGATAAGCAGACTCGGGTAGATTTTCATGAGCTCTGCTACATAATTTATTAGTTTCTAAACTCTGTAAAACTAAAAGCTCCACTAAAGTTCAAATAAGTTTGTGATTTCAAAATAATTTTGAATGGACTGTTCCTGTTTCTGACTAATGTCACACAATTGATTTAAATGGGAATTCTTAATCTGCAGAGGTAGATTCTTGCATTGTTTTGTTAGTTAAATAAAAGGACAATATCATGGGCCAGGAGTGTAAAGCATGAAATATTGTAGGGGAAAAGGGACCAAGAAAAAAGCATCTTCTGTCCCAGATCTGCTGCAGGCTGCAAAATTAAGTACATGGCTTTGGAGCATAGTGTAAGGGTCTGTAAAGCAAGGGCTGGCATTGCATGGGGTCACTGCTTGGCACTTCACACACTGTGACACAGGACCCTTGAGAAATAAGGAAATCATAACTAAAAAAGTTCAGGCAGACAGAAAGAGGGAGAAAGACCTTCTTGTTTGCACAAATAAAATGAGAGCAGTTTTGCAGCTCTCTGTGAGGCAGAGCTGCTGCTGAGCTCAACCATGCTGGCCCGTGCCAGGCTGACAGCACATGGGCCAAACCTGGGATTGAACAGGATGGAGAGGATGGGGAGCCAGGCTGTAATCCTGCATCTGGGACTCTCTGCCCAGATCCTCTCCCCTGGAACCCTCTGCAAGCTCCTAAGTGAGCATGGGAACTTGTTCTGGGCCAGATCCAGAGCCTGACAGGTCACAAGAAGCACAATTACAACAGCTTAATAATTCTAACTCCATTCTCAGGGGGTGGTGGGGCAGATTAGAAGGGGAGAAACCTGTCCTGTTGCCCCCTCTCTCACCTGGCTTTATACACTTCCAAAGTTCACTCTGGGCACCCTGATGGCCCCAGCAGGTGCCTGAGTGCCACGAGCACGGGCGGCTGCACACTCACACCCCTGTGCCAGCCTTGCCCTGAGCACAGGTCCCAAAGGTGGTGCACACTGACACAGCTGTGCAATGCCTGCCCCCTTTCATGGGCTGCCTGCTGCCTCCACGCGGGAAAACCACATCCTGAGATTCTCCTGTTGAACTCCCGAGAGAGACGAAGCCCAAACGTGGGCTTGAATTTCATACCGAGTCTCTGAGCGTTACTGGGGAAATGATACCTGATACTCTCTATGTATATTAAGAAAAAAGACAGGGTATTACACCAATTTAGTAGAAAGCAATCCTTTTTTTTCGTCTGAAAAAAAGACAACAAAGCCATACAGAGTAGAAATTAGTGAAAGCTTATAGCTTCAATAATTTAGAAGTTAAGCCTACTTAAACATAAATGACGATGCTTAATTCCAAGGCTGTTACTGAGCAGAGCCGGGGAGCCTCTCGTATCCTATGCCTGCCTTTGAATGCCGGGCTCAGCAATAACAGACAAAAGCTGTCCACCACCCAGAACAAAGAGCTCCAGGAAATTAAAAAAAAGAAAAAAAGAGAGGAAAAAAAAAAAGAAAATACTGCCTCGCTGCTGAGCCCACTCCCGCGGGCTGACCAGCAGCTCCCAGTGCCTGGTGCACAGTCGCCAGAGCAGCATTTTGGGGAGCTCGAAAAGCACAGGGCTGGGAGCGGAGCATCGTGTCCCGCAGAGCGCGGCACTGCTCCCACACAGCATCCCCGGCGAGGCTGCTCCGCCGCTGACACTGACGCGGGAGCGTTTACGGAACTCAGCAGGGCGCACAAACACGGTACCTCGCTGTTAACCGCGCCGAGAACACACAAACCCACCAGAGGGGGGGAAACACCGTCAGAACCAAAAAACTTTGGAAGTGCAGCCAAACACTCCTCAGCAGGGCCAGCAAAACACACCCCGAAGTCAGGAGCCACTGACCCGCCGAGGCGCAGCATAAACAAACACACGGGGCAATTTGGACAGCAGCGGGCGATAACCCAGCCGCAAATTCAAGTTGCTAAAGTTCTGCTTTCAAGCACTCACTTCTTTCGCTTTCCTCCGTCAGAAAAAAAAAACCCGAAAAAAACCAAACAAAACAAACTTTTTAAACCATCCTCATTGTACTACTCAGGAATCTTAACACAATAACAAGACCTGCTTCATTACATCCACTTCACAGATCATTTCTATTTTCCGCGAGTTCCACTGGCTTCTCCTCCTCGCGCGGTTGCTACGGACCACGTGGCGAGATTTATGATACGACTAACCCACAGCTTTGCTTTCTAAACACCCTAGCAGCTAATCTTTGATAAATCTAAGACACACTTTTCTCCCTCTAACCATGCTGGGCTGCTTACAGGGCTTTTTAAAAATAATTAATAGAATAAGCACAGAACGGTTTGGATTGCAAGAGACTTTAAAGACCATCTCGTTTCAACCCCCCGATATGAGCAGGGACACCTTACACTAGCCCAGGTTGCTCAGTTCCTACTTTTCCTTATCTAGAAGGCTGTTAAAGAGAGACTAGAACAGGACGCACTCGGGTGTTTTGCTGCAGAACAGCATCTTTGTCAGATTAGACCCATGCATCACCAGTAGAAGAAAAACACTGCCATTTATCCGCAGGACATGTGCACAGTAGGTCCAGGGAAAGCTCTTTTTGTAGTCCGGCCAGGTGGACCGTGCTACAACCAATGCGGACAGAGCTGGCGTTACGGGAGAGCACAATATACTTGTAGGTCTGAAGTTGCTCGCCCTCATCCCTGCAACTTGTCTCCCAACATCTCTCGCTATCACAGCCTTTGCTGTCCGAACGCGACGCGTCCGTCGGGCGCTGCCTCCCGCTCCCACCCGCTGCCGATCCCGGCGGCTCTCACGATCCGGGCACGGGTGGATGGCCAGCAACGCCACTGCCCCGGCAGCCACCACACCCCTCCCCAGCGCCAGCGGCGGGGGCTCGGGCTCCACAAACACCACCGTCCCTCCCCAGAGCCCCCCGCACAAGGGGCTTCCAACTGGAAGCACAGCTCCTGGGGAGCACTTCGGGATGGGCTGGGGATGAAGGCGCTGGATGGGCGCGTGCGGGACTCCGCAGCCCCAAGCCACGACTCCTGCTCGCCCCCCCGGAGGAACGCGCCCCGTTCCCGCGGAGGGACGCTGACCCGCGGGGACCCCCATGCCGCACCGGCGGCACACGCGGAGCTGCTCGGCCCCGGTCAGCCCCCGCGGCGGCCCCGAGCCACGGGGAAGGGCAGAGTGCGGGGCTGCGAGTGACCGCGGACGAGCGAGGGGAAACGGGACCGGCGGCAGGGATGGCGAGGGACAAGGGGACGAGCAATGCCCTGGCCATCTCGGGGGTGATGAGGGGACGCGAAGTGCTGTGAAGACGGACGGAGCGGCCGCGGGGAACGGCGCCGGTGCCGGGCGCGGCGGCGGCAGGTCCATGTCCGCGCTCCCGCCCGCTCCCCCAGCCCAGCTCGGCTCTTACCTCCGCGGCAGACAAGCAGCAGCAGCCCCAGCAGGCAGGCGGGCAGCGCGGAGCCCGGCGGAGCCATGGCATCCCGGGCGGGCGGGCTCGCCTCCCTGCGCCCCACGGGGAGGGAGCAGCCCGCCGGCAGAGAGGGAGGGAGGGGAGGAGGGAGGGCGGCCAGGCGAGAACCACCCCCAGCTGTGGGGCGGGCGGGAGAGGGGGGGAAAAAAAGGAAAGGGAAAAAAGGGGAAAAGCGGCTCTCAGCGGTGCTGCCCTCGGCGCGAACACGCCGCCGCGCCGGGCGGGCGGGGGGCGGCGCTGAGGGAGCGGGGCCGCCGGCGGGCGGGGGGCGGGCGGGCAGCGCCTTGCGCCATCTTGCGCATTCGCCGGGGCGCCGGCAGCGCTGGCCGGGCTGAGGGGTGGGGGCGGCTCCGTGAGGGGCCAGTCCGCGCCCGGGACCCGCGGGGAGTGTGCAGGGAGCCTCGTGGGTCTGCCTTCACCGGAGCCCCCTCACGGCACTCCCGTCACAGAGCTCCCGTCACAGAGCACGTCTCAAAACCTACTCACGGGTCGAGCCTCACAGATCTCCCCTCATGTGTTTCGCTCACCAGAGCCCCTTCGAGTTTCTCCCTTCACAGGAGCCCTCTCTTTCAGAACCCACTCGCGGCTCTCCCTCACTGGTGCCGCTTCACGGCCTCCCTTCACAGGGCTGCTCTCACCAGTGCCACCTCACGGAACTCCCTCACACCGAAGCCCCGCCACCGGTGCCCCCTCACAGCTCTCCCGTCACTGAGGCAGCCCCACAGGTCTCCCCTCACCAGAGCTGCTTCAGGAGTCTCCCGTCACCGCTCTCCCCTCACGTGTCTCCCTCACCAGAGCTGCTTCAGGAGTCTCCCGTCACCGCTCTCCCCTCACGCGTCTCCCTCACCAGAGACCCCTCAAGGGTGTCCGCTCCCTGTCACCAGAGGCCCCTCACGCATCTCCCCTCGCTGCTTTCACTTCCCAGGGCTCCCTTCACGGAGCTCCAGGGATTTCAGGGACGCATCGGGGGCCTTCCCCTCACCTGCCTCCCCTCACTGGGGCAACCTCGCAGGAACACAGAACAGCCTGGCTTGTCCCACCTCTGTGCTCCTGATTTTAACGCTATCCTAAGTGACTTACCTGAGTCAGTAATGCAGGAGTTGGACCAGCCTGCTCACCCTGGAAGGCGCCCCAGTGAGGAAGGACCCAGTAAGGGATGAGTCTGCTCCTAAATCCTGCCACAGCAGGATAATTTGTCTGCCCTCCTGGTATGAAATAAGGATAACATGTTCTTACATGGCTCTCAGCCCCTGTGCCCACCCAGTATTTTCTGCCTTCCAACTGATCCTATCCTGTCCCTTGGCCCATGTTCTGCACAAACATAAATAATGACTTTTAGCAGCAAAAGTCATCTCTGCAAGGACAGTTCAGTGTTTTGTGGTGTTTGCTTGGCAAAAAGGAACTAAAATGAAATAAAAGTCAATCCTAACTAATTTCTTTCTTCAGACTAAAACCAGATTTTGTGGACTGGGTTACTAAACCCTGTAACCATTCCTAGAAATCTGGTGAAAAACCCTTTGTGAAGAGGGGCAATGTGAGGCTCCCCTGGATGGTACACCCTGAATGTGTCGGAGTCGGCTAACAAGGAACGAAGACGTCACTACATCTGCTCCACATTAAAGCTTCCTTCGTTTAGCAGAGGGTTGAGCTGTACGAGGTTCCTTTCGCTGGGGAAGAATTTGCTCTGGCTCCTCTCGGTAACATCTGAATTTCTGTGCTGTCCCTGACCTTTTGGCACCAGCCGTGCTCTTGCTCCGACTCCCTGGCTCCTGCCATGGGGCCCCATCAGCATTTATGTAACGCTTGAAGCCATCATGGACTTGTGGCAGCTATTACTGAGGATGGCTTGTGGGAATTAATAATTCCAAGCAAAGCTGAGCACAATGTGCTTGACAGGGCTGCTTCCCCTGTGAACCAGAGATTTTGTGTGCTTTTGCTGCCAAATGCCCTGGCAGGACCCAGGGGCTGGGGGATGTAGGTACATGTTTAGGGTATCACCAGCTTCACCCTCACACCTTGCAAATGACACTGGTGACAGCACTGGTGGCACATTCAGAAATTATCCACTACTCCAAACAATAGGACTTACATAAAACCATGAGATCTTTTAGGGAATAGACAGGTTTGGAGCTTTTGGAGCCACCTAAGAGCAGGAATTCAGAGCACTCACGTTTTTCTACGCTCTGTAAGCATGAGGGATTAGAAAAGTTGCTTTGTACTGGAGGCAGGAATTTGCTTATCACACTGCGAGCAGAAATCGGAGCCTTTGGAAAAGCAGCAGGGCTGCAGGAGTGACAGTGTCCTGCCCAAACTGAGGCTCCAAACCCTTTCCTGCAGAGAAGCCAAAGGGTTTCCTCTGTCCCCCCTGCTGCTGAGGGGCACAGAATCTGTCTGTCCATCTGCCCTCCCTCTCCACAATGCCCTCTGAGGGCATCACTCACCCCTCACTCCCTGCACAGCAAATTTCCATCAGCTCCAATCGTGCTCCTGATTTACACCAATTAACTGCAAACTGAGGTCCCCAAGACACCATTAGTAGTTTCAGTGGATGAAGTGGGAGATTAACTTGTCTGAATTCACTCCATTTATTATTCTATGTGTAATTGTGGTTACCCTGCCTGCCAACAGTCTGGGAGCTTTTCCCTTATGTACGTACATGCAGGTTTTAGCATCTACTTCATGGTCAGTGAGCAAAGAGGAGTGGGAGCTAAAATTGTGGCACCCACCTTGAGGCACTGAGCCCAGAGCCATGCCAGCAGTGGTGGAACCACCCCGAGTCCTGCTTCTGGAAGCACCAAAAACTGTTTTCTCTGTGTCTGTTGAGAATCTGTGAAGCAATCCTGGCCACCTCACTGCATCACACGGCCCATTGTCTTGGGCTGTGCCATGTTCCAGAGGGCTGAGCTGGGCCACACACTGCACTGGCAATTGTAACTCCCTGAATTACCTGAGACCAGGAGAAACCCAGGCCCATTGCAGTGTATATCCAGCTGCATCAGGGTGACAAAGGTTGGGAAGAGAAAGAAACGAAACCTGACACTTTTCACTTCTCTCCTGTAACTGCCATGTCCGTCCATCTCTGTCCCCCATTCCATCCCACCGTGGCTCCTCTCAGCAGCCTCCAATCAGCATCCTGTGAACTGGGTGCTGGAAGAGTGATTTGCAGTCACCCATCACCCCTCCAAGGTCCTTCCTTGCTCGTTTGTGGGGTTACCTATCATTAGGAGAAAGACTTATCAGAGTTACACAGTCTGACAGAGTTGCCTTTAACCACTATCGGAGAACACTGTGCTAAGTGCAGATTTATTACCTCTGTAATGCAGATAAAATGAGATTTTATGGCTCTGTAGTCGTGGCAGCATAAAGTAATAATGGAAACTATGTACTGAAGTAGGGAATGCATCCCCGGAAGAAGGGAGATGCACAGGAGGTTAAAGTGTGTCCTTGGGCACTGGCAGGTATCCTCTCACCAATCCTGCTGGACACAAGCCACCAAGTGCTCAGCCCATTGTGCCACCCAAGAGAACTCTCATCACTCATTGCTCGATGCCCCTGCTTATTTTCACCATTAAAAAAAATCCCAGCAAGATGAAGTATGAAACTGGACAAATATTTTTTCCTATAGGAATCAGTTCAAACCTGAGGAAGGTACAAGCATCCAGAAATGCTGAATGAATCCAAACTCTGCTCATGTCTGAAATTCCAGAAGAATCCCTAAGGTACCACAATCATCTCACAATACCAACCTTCACAGTGATGAGCTCTGTCCTGAAGTGGTGTGAGCATGAATCCTGCATTCTGCTCCCACACTGCTTCTGCCAGCGAGGTACAGCCTCACTCAGCTGGAACAGACTTAAGTGTGAGTAAAATTCCACTCTTTTTAAAAAACATTTTATTAATAACCCATTAGTTAAGGAATATAAGGACAATGTCTTACACTTTAACACTAAAGAGTATTTGTGGAGTAAGAACAGTCTCTGAAGAAAGAAAGTTATAATAAAGTACAGTATGGAACCAAACACAGACACAACCTTCAAACAAGATCAAGTTCTGGTTACACATCTTTATGCACGATGCAGAAAATGAAATTTAACTTGAAAATACAAGCAAGGGAATACAGTAACAGAAGTAGATGGTAGATTTCTGCTGGTTAAACACTTCCTTTCTAACAAAAGTATTGATTAGAAAAGACACAATGATTCCTTCAAAACACCTGTTACTAATGAGATCAAAACCATAAACAGTGTTCTGGTAAAATGGTTGTTTTCTTACACAGCAATATTTCATGGGCTGATTGTTATCTAGTAATGAAAAAGAATTCTCAAACTCTAAATTAGAAGTTATCTCATTAGAACTATTTAAACCAGAACTTTGCTGCCTGTTAAGTAAGAAATCAAGTCAACAAAAAGCTGATAGATGTTTTTATCTCAGTTGCACGTTTCACATAACAAGAAATGAAAAGAAATAAAAGGATGAGAATTGTGACTCTCACAGCAGCAGGGGGAATATACAGTTGTGTAGCCAAACAGTAACATTAATACTAGAAAATTATGCCAGTGAGACAAACCTGACATTTTAACAATGTAAAACAATATACACCAGCAAAAAATTTGAACAGCAATAATCTTTAGTGTTACTGAAAGGAAGAAAATGGAAAAGGAGCCTGGGGTACAGGAAGAGATATTAAGCACGATGGGTAATTAAAGGTATCAACAGTTTGTGTGCCTGTGAGAAATCTGCATGAAAGCTACTTATTTCATGTTAAAAAAATATATGCACTGGTTGTTTCAGCTTTACACATCAAATGTGTATTTTGTGTCTTCTTCGATTCACTTCCAGCTGAGACTGAAAGGTCCCTGCACGTTCAGGGCAGGGGGGACCTGGGGCACAGCTGAGCTGGACAAGGACACCCAGCACTCTGTGTGGATGTGTGTTCATCCAGGGACAGCTTTGGTGCTGCTGGGCAGTGCTGACCTCTTGGCTCCAAGGAAACTATCTGGATTTCTGCAACTCAGGTCTGGCCTACAGCCTATGGCCACCACAGTTCTTGGACAGCCAAACACTGCCAGCTTCACACCCTGGTACAGTTTGGTGAAGTGTAATGAGATCAGAACAAGCCTCAGCATAAGGTGACAAAAGTGCTTTGGGGACACATAAACAAAATTGTTTGTGGTCTGCTGCATCTCCTGAAGCTCTCTGTAACTGTTGTGGT